AATAGAAAATATTCTAAAATATGAAAAATAGGCTAAATATTCTCTTATGTCCAAAATATGCTTTAATATGCAAAATAAATTTTTTCCTGCGAACTCTGTGATGGATAAATSGTCCACATTTTTYACTCYYGTAAAGCTGCATAAAGCCAATAAAAATATGTAAAATCCTAAAKATCCACTCTCTACTTATAATGCACCAAGGATATTCATTTTTACATCAGAAATCACCCACAAAGTTTGAAATTTAAGTATTATTTCGACTAGTTATGCTGTACACAGACACACATTCTAAAATCAATTCATTCATCACTCCGTTCAAAATCTAAAACATATCCTTTAATAATAATAATAAAAATGGTTATGATATATGAACGATTAATATTGAAAAAATTCTTCAACTTATTATGTAAAACCACCTTGGGTGGATTTCTGATTTCACAATCGTATCCAACGCTCTTAACAAAAAATTAAGAGTATCCGTTAAAATAGAAATATGCCAATATGCAGCTTATCATTAAGATACCTACTAATAATGTTGTAATAATTTTTATTGTAAGTAGTATGTGAATATTTTTATATATTATTCTAAAAATATCCTGTTTAATGTTTTAGGTGTATCTACAAATAGACACATACAATCATGGGTAGGTTAATACCCAGTTTTTAGATATTCATTATTTTTTCTTTCATTTAATAGATAATAATAGTATAGGTGGTATCTGTATTGTTCACTATTTGGCATTTCAAATTATTCAATAACACAAATTCATAAAATGTAAGGAGGACAACAATAAATCTTTAATACTTGGAATTTTGATTATACATGTACAATTGTAGATATCAAGTACCATCTAAATGAGTAATAAAGCACATTTTCTCATGATACTAAATACCTAATACTGACCCAAAGCACATCTCTAGTTAACCTTACCATTGTAGTACCTATACTACCATTATGCAATGTATGGACTAATTTATGTTTTTGTAATTATGGATTGTAAAATATATGTTTTGTATTTTTATATATTTGTTTTTTTATTACAGATTATACCATCTCCGAGTCATAAGCCTGTTACACCTTCTCTAAATTCAAAAAATATAATATTACCAGAGTCTACTACTCCTATCTGTGATATGAAAATTTATGAAAATCGTTTGAAGACTTTTAATAAATGGCCATCAAAATGTATTACACCTGATAAAATGGCTAGGGCTGGATTTTATTATACAGGTGTACAAGATAAAGTGAGGTGTTTATACTGCCCGAATGAATTTGAATACTGGGGAGAAGATGACGATCCGTATATTGAGCACAAATTAGCATCTCCACAGTGTCAATATTTCAAAGAAAAACTAGGTAAGCATTTTTAAATGAAATTATTTTTGATAAATATGTTTAAAATTTTAAGAGGGTGTGATACCTGCATGTGTTGTCTCTGTTAATATTTTGCATTTTAATATACTCATAACTTGCTTTAAAATTAAAATACAATAAAAAGCCTATGGCATTGTCTAGATAATAATCATATGTTTAAATTTCATTAGAGGTTAATTCACTCCAAATTTTAAACTAACAGAGCTAAACGTGTTCTGCTGAGCGTAAAATTTGCTATGTTATGCACTTGTAAGACAGAGATAACACATACAGGTATTTCGTCCACTTATTAACTATCATATTGATATTTTCCATTATGAATTATATCTATGCGTATGTATTCAAATATAATATATTAATGCAAATTTGTTCTTACAGATCATAAATCTGATATTATGACTACTTTTGTTCAAAATTTCTTACGCTCCGTTGGTATTGTTACTGATATGAATATGAAAGTTCTCTCAAATTATAAATCTTTAACTTCTTTGGAATCTCGTAAGAAAACATTCGAAACATTCACAAAAAAACTTACCCATGATGTTAAAACTTTTTGTAAAGCTGGACTATTTTATATAGGTAACTTTGTAATATTTGTAATTTGTGTGATCAAAATATTTTGTTAAAACCTAATATTTTCAAGGTGAAAACGATAGAATGTTATGTTTCTGCTGTAACCAAGGTCTGATGGATTGGGAAGTTGATGATGATCCTTGGGTTGAACATGCTCGGTGGTCACCACTTTGTAGTTATGTTCTTTTAAGTAAAGGAAAACGTTTTGTTGAAGAGGTTGGTGGTGAAGTAAACTATAGTTTACGAATCAACCTTGAGGTTAGTATTATTCAATTAATTTTTAAAATATAATTTACAACATGCCTTGTATTTCTTTTGCAGGAATTGAATAAGTTATTTACGATTCACAGACATTTTGCAGTTGACAGTAATRCAATGAGGTTTGTTTATATAATTTGTGTTTTAGAGCTTTTACCATATTAAAAGACTTGATAGGAAACAAGTTACCAAAAAATAAAAATAACTTTAAGATGAATGCTGTATTTCACTGTTAACTTAAATTTAAATGCAAAATTTGCTAGAATGCAATAATATCATGTAGGTACATGTA